AAAAAWTAGAACTTTTAAATAGTTGATTTGATATTAACATTGATATATTTTTTTTCTTCAAATTTTTATGATATCTCTAAATTTATATTTTATTAAAAAATAAAATCATATCCTTAAATTTTTATGATATCTTTAAATTTATAATTTTATTAACATTGCAGACTAAGGTGCCTTAGCCTATCTGTACACAGTCACACCTAAAGGGGAGCGCCTGCTCAACTATCAGATCTTGTTTTCCCTTTCCGGGTAGAGCTAGAGTGCAATTTTTTGAAATATGTTAATGTACAACTGTTATAAATCATATCCTTAAAAAGTTATTTTTGGATTAAGGAAAGAGCATCTCAAAGTAAAAATTTATCAGGAAAAATAAAAAAAACTACACAGATACTGGAACTATCTCAATACATGCTCTGGGTACCAGCCACACCAGTACCTATATTTGTACTGAAATTAAGAGTAAATTACGTTTTTCGTCCTTATCAAATGCTCATACTTTGAGACACCAAGAACGTTTATAGTACTGGACCAATCTCAAGAGACATCTCAGTGTGATCCAACTTCGAAAGAATGTCAGTTTATTAGGATACGTAGATATTTTTAACATCTTATAAACCCGATTTTATTATACTGTCAACTCCATAAACAGATTTATCCGAAAAACAGTTGGAAACCAAACTCAATCAAGAAATTGAAAACTACACAAAATTGCAAATAAATTCCAACACGAAATCAAAACAAATATTATAAGGAATATGAAAATAATATTTTTCTCATAAAATTTGATTCCAAATATTTTCTCTGTCTACAAATGAAAATTAATAATGCCATTGGAGTCACCATACTGATGCCATTAACGATCTTGCATGGTGGGACAGAAGCTGGATTCAAGGGTTGTGAAGCCCAGTGCCACCCAACAACTGGAGGTGGTGGACGGTCGTCGGAGAAGGTATAGGACTGGTGGCGTTCAGGAGTGGCAATGGTGGCGACAGTTGTGGCGGGCATTGATAGCACTTGGTGAAGATCCCGAATGTATCGATTTGGTGTATGAAGTTTGTCATGCTCGCCCAACCTCCGAATCCAAATCCAATGATGAATACCCACACAACCACAAAGACGTTGATCGTATAAGCGCCTACCCACCGTCCAAGAAACTTTGGTGGTTGCTCTACTGCGTTCTGCACCGTTGTAATCATTTAATCAGTCAAACGATTTAGAGAGAAAAAGAGAGAGAGAGAGAGAGAGAGAGAGAGACAAGTTTATATGAGAACAATTACCAAATAAAATAATAAGAAAATGGTCTAATCAGATAAATTTACACTAAAATCACGTGTAAAATCACATTTGTGATTCACACGACTTTGGTGGCGACTTGAGGTCGTGGACCATGTCGCCTACACACCCTTACATTGCCCGTTATTATAAAATCCATGTGATTTGACTATTTTCGTATTCTTTTATTTAATTATTGTTCTCGTTTGAATATATATATATATATATATATATATATATATATTGAAATTACCACATAACTTGATTTATATTGACGTTATAGATGTTTAAATGTCATAATAGGCTGTTTTATAAGACTTGAATTTATAGAACCAAACAATTGTGTTTAGTGTGCACCATATAAAGATGTTACAATAAGATGTTAGAACATATTTGGGCATCTTATAAAACTGATTTTGTTGTAATGAATATTATAACATACATACCTCTCTTGCAGCAGGTGATCGGAAGGTGAACATGTGTGCCAGAGCCGGGATGATATAGACGGTGAAACTAACGAGAAGCGATCCAACGGTTGAATTGATCGGCCCAAAGAACGGAAAGATAATGGCAAGAAACCATATCGGGACCACCACCGGCAATCGTGCAGCTGCACGCTTGCACATGCTCTTGCACTCGTGCATTCCAATCGCTTTCTCCCACACGAAATATAACGGAGTGCAAGCAAACCCAAAAGTGATAAACTGCATCAACAATCGACACAAACCCTTTAATTGCCCATATTAAAATATAAATCAGTACTATCATGCACATAAATGACGATAACATACTTGGTGAATCAACATGAGGATAACAGCCATGTTTCTCCACGGAGATCTAGGAAGGAGGGCAAAGGCATTTGAATGGTTAAGTAACGAGTCACCGAACGCCCAGTAAACCGCCGCTGCAGATGGAAGCGTAAGCGTCAGTACATACGCAGTAGCCCATAGGTAAATCGCCTTAAATTTTTGGGGTTTCCACATTGCGTGCATGATTTCCCTGCCAACACGATTTTTCGTCAGTACTGAGTAAAGTAAATTAAACGAACCCAGTAAAATTCACGTAAATATAAGGTTCAAATTTTTTAAAAAGCAAACTAACAAGGTTCGATCTATAAAATGAAACTCTTTATATTTGTGAATGGGCCCAAGCCCAACTTTCATGGCCTACCTCTGACTCATATGGGCTAACTTGTGTTTTAAAACATAGGCCCACTAAAGACCCCTTGGCCCAATGAAGTATCAAGCTTTTGAAACCCATAGTTGATTCTATTTCTATTGTAAATCGACGGACAAATAAGGACGTGACACGTGTTTCATTTTATCTGAATAATGAACGTGAATTTTTTACAATATTCACGATGAATGTTTACGCAATTAATAATAAACCATTCATGATAAATATCTCATGAATGTCTGGACACATGACACTCTTGTTTGTCTCATGGTCCATAGGGAAAGTTCAGTTCAGAACTGAACTTTCCCTATGCAAATATATTCCTATATATATTTAGAAAATATTATGTTCAATAAATCATAAATACTAATGACCCCTAATAAAATCAAACTTAATCTTTAAGAAGCTGTCATTAAAAAAAAGGCAAATTGCATGAAAAAGTAATATGTTTTAACTTGATTCTTAATTTGGATAATGTACTTTCAAAAATTTTATTTTGTTATCTAAGATGTAAAGTTTTAAACATTTAAGTATCTGGGTAACTGGTTGAAACATTAACCGATTATCATGCTGATGTGGCGGGTGATATTGTATCTAACTCAGTATTTTTTCCTGACGTGGTTAGTGACATGAACTTTTTAATCTAAAGTTAGTTTTCAACCGGTTATTCGGGTATTTAAATATTTAATACTTTACATCTTAGGTACCAAAATGGAAGTTCTGAAAATACGTTACACAAAATATGAATCAAGTTAAAACACGTCATTTTTTTCTTGTAATTATTCTAAAGAAAAGATATGCATACATCATACATTTTAATCGTTTGGTTTTATTTGTTTCTAAAGTTATATTAAATATTTAAGTAAAGAAAAATAATTTGATTGGTTAAAAAAAAAAGAAATTTAAAATTGTTTTTTAAAAGTTATTTATGGAAAAGCGAAGTGATGATAAAAGAGAGGTCGCTTTCTAGAAATACCACAAAGTATGAAAAAGACGGAAAAGGGATTCCCAAGAAAAGAAGGGACTTTCTGCTACTCATGAATGGGATAGGGGTATTATTGTAATTTAACATGTTTAAACTGTCGTGCTCCGAAAAAGAGTTATGCTTCGTTGTGGATGAGTGCACAGGGACTTCGATAGGGACTAATCTTTAGAAATTTTATAGTAAAAGTCATTCGATCAGATGGTCAGATCATGTCGATGATGATAAACAAAGCTCAAGTCATTTTCATTAAAAAAATAATATTATTTATATATATATATATATATATATATATATATATATTCTACAAGATTGTAATTATTTGGATCAGTTTGTGCACACCTCAACTAATTAGTAAAATCTGAAAGTTATCAGATAGGATAACTTTCAGTAGTTTTTGGAGGATTCGAACTGATGACCGTTGAAAAGGAAATCAAAGTCACCAGTTTAGCTATATAAAATTTCAAGACCATCTTTAAAATGACGATATTTCCCCGTCTGATAACTATCTTTAAAAATGACGATTTTACCCTTAAAAAGAATCTTTACATGAACTTGGATCGAAAGCGGAAAGCTTATGTAAAATGTAAAATTTTGAGCACCTCTTTAGAATAATGATTTTATCCTGAATTGACGACTGTTTTAAAAAATGACGATTTTACCCTTCAAAGAATCCTTACATGGACTTGGATTAAAAGGGAAAAAGTGGAAAGCTATAACGAGAATTTAAATTTCAAGACCATAACTAAAATGACGAAATTACCCTTGTATGACGACCATCTTTGAAAATGACGCATTTATCCTTGAAAGAATCCTTACATGGACTTGGATCAAATGAAAAAAAGTGAGTTCGGGTAAAAGTATAAAATTTCGAGACCATATTTAAAAATGACGACTTTACCCTTATTTAACGATCGTTTTTTGAAATGACGAATCTACACTTAAAATAATCGAAATCATATCAAAAGAGAAAAAATGGAAAGCAAAGTCTCTTCTCTCTCTCTCTCTCTTGTTATTTTCAACATGATGATAACACCCACATACAAAGGAAAAACATAAGTGATGTGAAATGACAATTGTACCCATTTGAGTGAATAAAAAATTGCAGGGGTGTCTTTTGGAAATAACATAAAGGACAGGGGGTGTTCTTACACAGTCACTGCATGTCCCCCGAATGTGTACAGAATGTTTGTTGCCCCAGTGAAGTAAAGAACCATCTTTGCTGGACCTGTATGTTTCACCCCTTCCACCTACAAAAGTTACACTTTACACCCCTATACTTTTAAATCGCACTAGTACTCCAAAATAATATATGATTTACAAGTAATTTTTCAATGGTACAAGTATTATTGCATAAAGTAAAAGTCATTAAAACGTAAAACGACAGAAGACGGTAAAAAACCTGGCCGTGGAGGAGTGATGCGACTGTTAGGTACCATGCTGTGTAAGTGGTCATGACCAATCCTAGGAACGACCAAATTCTGTAGTTGTGAAATGACGGGATAAACACAGTCGTTGCACAGCATGCACCAAATATGTATGTCCATGTCCGCTTGTCTAAATTGTCGTTTATGTAGTATATATTGCTGCAATAAGCACATGTTATTATTTCACTTATTAATTAATGAATTGTACAAAATGTGACATGTTATGTACAAGTAAATTGTACTCATCGACCAGGGGTAAACCACTTTTACCGATGAGGCAGTGAAAAGAGTATCATGCCTTGCTTTAAGTAAATTTAAATTATTTACAGTACAACTGTTAACCTATCCATCAGTTATCTGATTTAGGTTATGTTTGACAAAATAGCTGATAAAATAGTCATGTTTTGTAAAACTAACATATAAATTATATGAAAATTTAAAATGATCTAAAAAAATGTTGAAAAATAAAAAGGGTATCACTAAAAAATGTTTTTTGAGATTATTAAAATACTACTTAAAAGTAGTTTTTCAAATGGGCAAATTGAATTAAAAGTAACGTACTTTAACTTTATTCATATTTTGGGTAATGTAAGATTCCATTTTAGTACCTAAGATATAAAGTTTTAAACATTTAAGTACTCAGGTAACTGGTTGAAGCATTAACGGTTACCATGATGATGTGACGAGTGATGTGGTATCCAACTCAGTATTATTTGCTATTCTATCCAATTTCATCTCATCGTTCATCACATCAGCATGGTAACCGGTTAATCTTTCAGCCAGTTACCCGGGTTACCAAAATGAAAGTTTTGAAAGTATGTTACCAAAAATAAGAATCAAGTTAAAGTATATTACTTTTTCAACAGTTAGCTAGCATATGGCCAGAATTTATAAGGAAATTGTACATTGTGCATTAAGGAGTTGTACCTAGCACAAGCTATGAGTTGAATCACAGATCCAAACAGAAGAAATGTGCAATTAAATCCCAACCCAACATTTCTCCAATGTTTTCCAAGCAATCCATCAAGAACTTCAAACCACTGCAATTAGTCAACAATCCAACATTCAAAAAAGTCAAATCCGATACAAGGTACAAGCTTTTACAGCACGATGTACAAGTCTTAATAACACAATTACGCTCAAAAGGCTCGTTTTTTTGTATAATTTAACGAACCCAGAAATTTTTGATGCACGAGGAATTTTTAAACACGAACAATGTACAACATTTAATGCACAAAGTATTAGATTTTAATGTTTTCAAACGATCCGTTAACTAATAAGTTGAATATCGGTGAATAAGCTCGATGTTAGCTGATAAGTTAGTTATGTCGGGTAATTGACGTACAAGTGGTCGATGCATAGTTGTGCATTAAGGAGTTGTACCTGAATGACATGGTTTCTAAAGTCTGCTTTTTCCCTTTCCTTTCTAGTTCTATATTCAACATAGAGAATGCTAATAAGATAAGCAGTCCAACTGCCCATCAAACCATAGAAAACTTGAAATAATATCCCCGAAAGCATCCCGAGTTGCGAAAACGAGTACGGTAGCGTAAGCAACACCTGCGCCACCTGCACGTTTTTTTTACAACGGTTACACGTCATCAAACGTTCAAAACCAAAAAAATACCCTTCTGGGCCAAAATAATTATCCACAATGAAAAAAGACAGACGTTTTTAGAAATACGCAATTATTACACTTTTTAATTAATTAAATGACAATTTTATCCTCAATATAGAAATGACGTATCCATGTAAGGGATACGTCATTCCTAATGATGACCATAATTGAAATATCAAATCATACAATCAAACGAACACGGATGAAATCCGATACCTGGTTCGATGAACAACTGAACCAAGCATCGTAAGCGGAACCACCGTTCCAAAAGAAGTTGGAAATGGTGTTTTTGACGTTTTTCGGCTTCCCTTCGGCCTCCATTTCGATATAGTTTCCGACTAACACAGTCTCCACCACCTTCTCATGGCCTTGATCATCCATGGCTGCTACTCTCTCTCTCTCTCTCTACTTTCTCTCTCTCTATATGTATAGGTTTTAAAAGATGTGTGTTGGGAGTTAATGAAACATGGAAGGTTGAGAGTGGAGATTATAGAAGAGATGGTGGGTGGTGTGTGTATTTATAGATCAAAAAAGACATAAAAGAGAAGAGGTGTAAGTATGTCTTCATGTTGGATGTTGGGAATACTTTATATTAACATTTATTCTTTCCATAAATGAAGATAGCAGAGTCAGTGCTTATCGAATAAATTGTTGCATATAATGCTGTTTTGGTGGATTAAAATTTTACCCGGTAAGTAAATGATAATGTTGAATTTTGCCGTAAGCACTTATCTGGGTAAGCATTTGATAAACGACCCATAACAAAATTTGCTTCTGAAACATAGATCAGTTAATAAAAGGATGAAACTTTTTTTTTCTTTCCAAATATAAGATAAGTTCTGGTTTCGATTTTAGGCCCCTGTTAGCTTAAACCTTTAAGTGATCTAAATATGCTCCTTTACGTTGATATCCTTAAAGACAGGTTCTGTGTAAGGTTGGTTGAGATTACTGATAATCAAATTTTTTTATCCAATTTCAACATAATTTTTTCCTTTGTTATATCAGTTTTAGTAATTATTTTGTAGTTATATATCCGATTTGGGTTTTGTTGTTTAATATTTTTTTGAAGTATATAATATATATATGACAAATAGAACAAATATATTCACACACCCTCCTCACCTTTGGTGATGTTTAGACCCTTGACCTTCTAAGAGGTCAATAACTATTGACTCACATACCGCTAGCTCAAAAACCATTTGGCTTCTTTAAAATTTTTGTTGCATCGACTTGCTTTGTAGGTAACCAGAAGTCACCGCATTTGAACCTCTGTGGTCGAGGGGATTTTTATTGATGTATTTATAGTAATAATAAATAATTAAAAAAAAAAACAAAGAAAAGTAGAACCATGTTTGAAAGGTACAAGTCATGGAAGCGATATTGAGTAAATTTCGGGGGAACACCAAGAGAATGATTTTCATCTTTGTGAAGTTTACACTTTCACCCCTCATGTTTTCCTTGTTTACAATAACAACCCTTAGTTTTCATGTTTAAAAGTTTCAGGTATTTCAACTTAAGACGATACACGGGTCTAGACAAGACACGACTCTAACTTACGACTGTTTTTGAAAATCGTTATAAATATCATGAACTTTCAGAACATCGTAAAAGCAATTCGGTTTTTTAAAATTAATACTGTTCAGCTCTTTTGATATGTTAGAAGGCTCTCTGCAAAAAACTATACAGATAATCAGTTTTTATTGGTACAGATTACATTGGTTTTAACAGTTAATAAATCATGCAGTTCCTTAACGAAACAAGCCAATCGACTTCACACAGCGAGAGGCTAGCTATCATTTTTAGCAGTTAGGGAAAAACAATTTGATTGTTGTATCTGTTAAGTTCTCATGATTTTATGTCTGCTGATACTGATTTTGGATTAAACGGGTGATCAAGGTTTATAATCATTGTGTTTGGATAGGGATGGAAACGGGGTGAAGAATGCACCCTTTTTCACATAACCTATAATATGATGTTTGTAATAATCATTGTGTTGATTCTATTAAGACATGTTATTAATAATTACTGAATATGGACATCAAATACGTAATGGTTTACCCATTCAATCATTTTTAGGTATTGCTTAATAATTAAGCAAAAAAAATGTGGCTTAATGACTCAACAAATAAACCATTAAGTTGATTAAGAGAAAAATGAATAGGATCTATAACCTTAAAAACCCGTTATAGATCAAATATCTTGAATGAACATCCCCTTTGTAAACTTACTAATCTGTAACAATCGCACCATGATAGAGTATTGGGCATTTAGTCTAGCGATATGTGAGTCTTTGGTCTCCTACAAGGTCAAGGGTTTAAACTTCACTAAAGGTAAGGAGGGTGCGTTAGTTTATTTGTTCTATTTGCCACCGTGCAACTTTAGACCATTAGATCATTAGCTTATAAAGTTGATCAATGAACATAAATTGGTCTTACGGGTCTCATGTGAACCCAACCCTATATATATATATATATATATATATATATATATGTTAAACCATTTGATTGTAATTCGAGAAAACAATGTAATATGATTACAAGATCATAAAACGTAACCAGTAAATTTTATTTTCAAATATATATACTTGGAAACATGCAAAAATACAGTGACTTATTCTATTTCCTAATACACTGTTTATACCTAAAAAGATTAGGAAACTATTTAATCTGTGTCGCTAGGAGAATACTTGTAATAATACAACTAAAATAGTTTTTTTTAAAGAATGATTTAAAATAACAGGTAAGTGCCTAAAATTTCTGATTTCATATGGTTTACAATATGTTCATAAGTTTGCATGTTAACCATGTTTCTGCTGCTCCATAAACAACTTGGGAACTTGTTCAGTCTATTCCATTATAATACCTGTTTTTATTTATTCAGAAAGAAAATAATGCATAATTCCAACTACAGGTTTTATGTCGATCTTCTGGTATCATATCTCACAATAGTGGAAAGAATTGCTTTCATGTAGCTTTTTACATTTGTTTAACTTTTTTTTTTATTCTAAAAAATCCTTACAAAAAAGGTTTAATTTTCAAACTTATGATTTACATTTAACAAACAAAGTTTTCTTTTTGTTACTGATCTTTTGAACCCAATGTAAATTTGTGTTACAATTTTGTATAATGTTTCTTACAGAACATAGTTTAAATTAGAGGTGATCATTTGCGGGTCCAGACCATGCCTAACTTGTTTTTTTTTTGTTCAACAGACCTAATATTGTAAATTCAAGCCCTTTTTCGGGCTAGACAACTTGTCATTACCGTCCTATAAACGGGTCGGGCTTGTCCACGGGTTAACGGGTGCCTAAAAAGTGTAACTCTTAATTGCAAACGTGGAACCAAATAGTAAAGGAAAAACTGCCAATTAAAATTTTAAGCAACTACTGACTTTATCTATTGTTGATCGATTAAGACTTTTGACATAAAGATGCTGACAACGATAATGTATAGCCTTTTGGGTTCTCAAGAAAAACCAAAGAGTCCCAACTCCCATCTTATAACTTTAATAATTTAATTTTAAAATATAGTATATAATTTTAATTTATGGTGAAAAAATATTAATTAGAAAACATAAACGGGCCGGACAGGGTTGTCCATATTTATTTTTACATTGCTCATGTCCGCTCGTTAATTTTAACGGACAAACCCGGACCCGTCCATTTTCTCGAAAATGATTGTCCAATCCCGTATTTCTAGTGGGCCGGATGAGCCGGGTCTAACAGGTCGTCTCGCCCATGAACAACTCTAGTTTAAGATGTTTAAAAGTTAACAAAAATGATCAAAATAAATGAAAATGTTAGGTGTCGTTTACCAAACGCTTACCCAGGTAAACGCTTACCCAGGTAAGCGCTTACCCAGGTAAGCGCTTACCAAGTAACATTACCTCACCGAATGAATATTGACAAGAATAAAAAATCTTACCCGGTAAGTGAAGGCGACGACTTTTACCATGGTAATCGCTTACCGGGTAAATTATTGCATACGATGTCGTTTTGATGAACTAAAATCTTACTCGGTAAATAAATAATAATGTTAAATTTTATCGGTAAACACTTACCGGATAAGTGTTTGGTAAACGACCCCTTAATGACAAAGGCTTTTTTGTAGAGATTTGACTATGAAAAAGACGAATCTGAGTTTGAAGAGGGGGAAGGAGAAAGAGCTCTCGACCCGCAACAGATTGAGGAGGATTTATTCCCTGAAATTACCACTTGGATCTGGAACCTACATGCTGATGCTCACAGTTTCGATAAGCCTTAGGTAAAAACAAATAACGGGTGTAGGTTTCTTTTTCCGGACAAACGATATTAACTTTAGAAAACTACAGGGGTTGTATGGTCATTTTGTAAAATCTGTTTTGTCTTTTAGCCCATTAATTAGTTTAATTAAACTTAATTATTCTATTTTAACTAATAATATAACCTCAGTGGTCTGTCCGCACGAGCGGGTCCTTTTTTCGAACATAATAAAATAAAAAGTATTATTTATTTCGTATTTTTATTTATATTTGTATCAAAATAAGTGTTCACTTTCAAAAGTAGATAATTAAATTCTCAAATTTATCATTAGTTAATGTATAATATTTAAAAGTTGTGAAAATAGATTAAATAAGGGTAAACATGTCATTTCACACATCATCATCCTCATCTTTAGTGAAGTTTGAACCCCTGACCTTTTAGAAGGTCAAAGACTCACATACCACTAAGCCAAAAACCTTTTAGTAATAACTATGGATGTTAATAATTATGTAGACATAAAACTATGTGTCATTTCAAATGTGAACACTTATTTTAAGATAAATGAAGTATAATTCTAAAAAAATTTGTTTTTCAAAGTAACTATGAAACCATGTAGTTGTTATAAATATACAAACCATGTAGCTGTTACAAATATACAACTCATTCAGTTAATGTATTTATGAAAATGATGAGAGTTTATTTTATTATGATCTGAATATTTATGAAAATGATGAGGGTTTATTTTATTATGATCTTAAAATATTTTATACAAAACTTATATTATGACTTTAATAATATACTGTTTGTTATCATATTTAATACATTAGTTATTTATATGATTGACAGGTCAATCTTACCAGCCCGTTTTGACTTGTTAAATTTAGGGCACATTACATGAAAAATTAACGTATTTTAATTTGATTTTTATTTTAGATAACGTACTTTGAAAACTTTCATTTTGGTACATAAGATGTAAAGTTTTAAATATTTAAGTACTCGGGTAACCGGTTGAAGCATAACCGGTTATCATGCTGATGTAGCGAATGTTGTGGTATCCAACTAAGTATTATTTGTTGACGTGGTTAGTGACATTAATTTTTTAATCTAAAATTAGTCTTCAACCAGTTACCTGAGTACTTAAATGGAGGTTTTGAAAGTACGTTACTCAAAATAT